GATATCCAGTAGGAACCCGAATAAAACTGAATGAATGTGTAATATATCCGGTCCGAGATAATTTTAGATACAAATAAAGAAACAAAAAACAGCAATTTGGAACGAAATCATGAAATCGAAGATATAACTTCATTGATTCACCGCTTCTTTTCCATTTTTATAACTTTTTCTAGACTAATTTATTCACTCAAATGTTTAAGATATATTATCCCTTGGCTATGTTTAAGATATAATTTAGTCAGAAAAAAGAGTTGAAGATAGTTTCGTTTAATTAATTCTAGCTGGTACCGTCTTTCTTCGTAGGTTCTTGAGTTTTCTTTTTCATTTTCTTTTGTTGTGTATAAAATATACCGTATAATAAAGTGAATGATTATTGCGAAACGTGGGGAAGAACTTCATGAGTTGTAGCATCTCAATAAAAGAAGGAGATTAGTCAAAGTGATTATTGCTTGGTTTACAATAAGCAAAGTTTATGATTCTTGAATTTAAAACCAAAAACAATTAATTAAGGAACTTTTGTAGTTGGATTAAAGAATCAATTTGGCAAATGACTAAAAAATGGAAGAACAATTAAGTATATATGTCATATGGTAAATGGTAAATGTCGTAAAGAGCAATAAAACAAACTAAATATATTTTTTTTTTTTCACAATCTTACTTCATTACTTAAACTTCCAAAGTACAAATAGAGAGAATTAAACATTCTCTAATCTTACTACAACATGATTGAAATTGAAACTCAACAAAACATAAAGCGTATAGATCATCGCAAGAGATGGACAACGGATTCAAGGCATGACTCGAATGCGTCAAGAAGGTCTTCGCGGCAAAGCCGAGGACTCTCAGATTGCTCACTTTGCAAAGTGATTTTGTAATCAAACTTCTACCTCCGGTCATCGTAGAAACGAAACTGGTTGCTACATAAAGCAAAACGGTGAGAAGATACTTCAAGGTTCCCGGCGCTAAGCTCGGGAAAGCGTCTCCTCTCAAAGAGAGGGAAGAGTATCCGACCATTCTCAATAAAATGGAAGAGGTTTGTAATGTATCCATCATTGTATAAACCGTGATAATTTTTTTTGTAAAACAAAGAAAATCATCCATGGGATTTGGCTTCTCGTTGTTAACCGATGGAGGAGCATAAGGACTTGATCTTATTAGGCAAGAAAGCCCAACTATCGGATTGGGCCAGGCCCATACATGAATGCTATCAAGAGAGAGATATGGTTTCACCCATGTTGAGTGATCGAAGTAGCGGATCCACGGCGGAGATGGACTTGCGGTTGGTGGATCAGAGGTTGACGTCGGTGCCTCGACGAGAGTTAGATCGGTTGAGATTAGTGAAATAGGTCTCTCCATGCCCGATATGGAGGAGGTTTAAGTAGAAGCTCTACGCTTCAACGAACTAGGCGATAATGTGCCCAATTGGATTGCACAAGGGTCCAAAATCAGCAATACACCACAATGAGTGGATTGGTGACCCAAAGGCAAGAAGCATCGGTTAAGATTTGTCGATATGAACAACAATGCTTTGTGAGAGATGGAGATGGATATGAAAAAGTGCAGCGGTGATTGGTCCGAATTCATCGACCTAGAAGGAGGTGGTGGATCCGTCATTGGCTTTAGCGAGCTAGATATCGACATGTCCAACTCGGCAAGAACGACGGTGAAGCTTTGCAAAAATAAACTGATGATGCTTGAACAGGGGAGAGGCGGCGGGTCTGGGGTACAAGCGGATCTGGAGGCTCCACCGGTTTTTGAAAGTACGGCCACGCCGGAGTTAGTATCCCCGTAAGTGAGAGAGAGTCACGGTCCGAAGCAACTGGTGGTGAGAGAGTCAAGGCCACGACCATCAGTACATATCTACGACCCATGGTGAACCCAGAAGAAGAGACCGAGAGATTTGAGCAAGGATCTTGCCGGAAACTGAGCTCCGGCAGAAGGTCGAGACGAGCCGTTCTTCAGAACTATGCTTCGTGTGTTCCGAGAAGGAGAAGGAGGAGCGACGATGCTTCAAGAGGAGAGGAAAGCTTGGTCGGAGGGGTTTCGGCGGAGACTTCTCATCGTGTCTTCAAAGTGCCGCGGCGGCTCCTCGAGAATCGCATCTGAGAGAAGTCTTAGGGCGAACCACTAAATATTATTTTTTATATATCATTTTATCTTTCAGTTAGTTGTTAGTTGTGACAATACATATGATATATGAGTTTTTTTTTTTGTTATGGTAGATAGTATCATAGTAATGAAACAAAAAATAAATATATTGTTTTTTCCTATATAGGGTTTAGGATTTAACATTTGTTTACCAGCATTGCTATTTTTGTAAATATACTTTTTTTTGTGATTCTTGTAATTAAAATCAAAAATTAATTAATTAAGGGTTTAACAACTTTAAGTACTCTGGTTACTTTAATCAGACATGCAAAAAGAGAATCCTCCGACCGTCCAAATTAGCCTTTTTTAGGGTAATTTACAGACAAATGGCAAAGTAATTAGTGGCAGAGAATGCTTGCTTTCTCATTCAGCTCCCTCGTCTTGATTGATGTAATTTCTTCTTGAGTTTCGTTCATTCATTGCTTTCAATCGCCAAAAAGGAATCATCCCCCACAAAAGCTCTTTTTTTTTTCTTGTTTGATTCCGTTTGCATGTAGAGATAAAAAAATTTATATACTTTAGTCGCATCTAGTTGGTTTGAATTGTGTGGATTAATTCATTTCCCGTAACTTACCGGTTTTATAAAAAAAAA